TGCTGCTGCTGCTGCTGCTGCTGCTGCTGCTGCTGCTGCTGCGCTGCTGCTGCTGCTGCTGCTGCTGCTGACTGTGCTCCTGCCGCGGCTCGTGCCTGCAGGCGTGCGGCGGCTGGAGTACAAGTACATAATAAAAGAGGGCCCCCGGGTCACTTGGGAACCCGGCCAAAACCACACTTGGGGGCCCCCAAGTCCGAAGGGCCTCCGCACGGCTTCGGGGCCCATTACTGTGCAGGACTCCTGGGGGGGAGGCCTGGGCTAGGCTGCCCGCGCTGCAGCAGCAGCAGCAGCAGCAACAGCAGCAGCAGCAGCAGCAGCAGCAGCAGCAGCAGCAGCAGATACATTGATGCGCAGCACGGGGCCATTTATGAGACACCGCTTTCGCCCTTCTGGAGCTTTCTCGCTCCGTGCTGGTGCCACAGACTAGCTAGCCACTAGTCACTAGCTAGCTAGCCAGCTAGCTAGCCAGCTAGTCAGCTAGCTAGCCAGCCTGCTGGCTAGCTAGCTAGCCAGCTAGCTAGCTAGCTAGGCCTCCCTCGCCGCTGGCGAAGGACCCCTTAGATGGGCGCCAGGAGGCGCCTTGGGCTGCAGCTGCAGCTTCTGCAGCTGCAGCTTCTGCGGCTGCAGCTGCAGCTGCAGACTAGGCAGCTGCTGCTGCTGCTGCTGCTGCTGCTGCTGCTGCTGCAGCCGCAGCTTCTGCGGTGTGCGTACAGTGCCGGGCGGTGCTGCAGCAGCAGACTGTGAGCTGCTGCTGCAGCGCACGTTCTTTTAAACCGCATTTATCCTCACTGGCCACCTCAACTGCGTTCTCTAGCTAGCTAGCTGGCTAGCTAGCCAGCTAGCTAGCTAGCTAGCTAGCTAGCTGGCTAGGTTTTTAGCTAGCTACGGAGCTAAGTAGCTGCAGCGAGGCAGCTAGCCACGCAGCTAGTGAGCCAGTAGCAGCTAGCTGGCTAGCTAGCCAGTAGCAGCTTAGCTAGCTAGGCAGCTAGCCATTGGGAGGGCCCGGAAGTGCGGGTCTTTTAAAAGAGAGCCGCCAGAAGAACGAACCCCGCTAGGTGCTTCAGAGCTTGTCTCGCAGCAGCAGCAACAGCAGCAGCAGCAACAACAGCAGCAGCAGCAACAGCAGCAGCAACAACAGCAGCAGCAACAGCAGCAGCAACAACAGCAGCAGCAACAGCAGCAGCAGCAACAGCAGCAGCAGCAACAGCAGCAGCAGCAGCGCAGCTTGCTAGCGTTAGCTCCTAGCAGCATCTGCTGCTCGTGTGGGGCACTCAGCAAGCAGCCGCCCCACAGCCCGGGGGCGATATGGGCAGCACCGCATGCAGCTGCTGCTGCAGATAAGCTCCTCTCGAACTGCAGCAGCAGCAGCAGCAGCACTAGCAGCAGCAGCAGCAGCAGCAGGAAAAAAGCAAACTCGAGATAAATAAAATTTCCCACAGAGTCTAGTTAACAAAAAGGGCTGTGGGGCCGCCCTGGCGAGCCGCAGCAGCAACTGCTGCTGCCAGCCCGCTGCTGCAGCCAACTGCTGCTGCCAGCCCGCTGCAGCAGCCAACTGCTGCTGCTGCAAACCCTCTACCGCAGCCCTTGCTGCCGCCAACCCGCTGCAGCAGCAGCAGCTGCTGCTGGTCTGCTGCTGCACCTGCTCCAGCAGCAGCAGCACGCGGCCCGCAGCGCGGGGAGCCGCCCCGCCCCGCAGCTGCTGCTGCCGCCGCAGCAGCAGCAGCAGCTGCTGCTGCTGCTGCTGCAGTCAAGCCGCGGCCTCCTGCCCCCTGAGCTTCTGGCTGCTGAGCGCAGCAGCACGCAGCCCCACACTCACTGCGCAAACTGTGGGGCCCTTCTCGCTGCTGGGATCGGCCGATCCCCCCCCAATAAACCCTTCGCAGTTTGGGGCCCCACAAAGACACAGCATTTCTTCATACCCAGGCCCGTACGCGTAAGTCAGCGCACAGCCTGCAGCCAGCAGCAGCAAAACCGCAGCCAGCAGCAACAAAACCCAATCCAAACTGCATCCTTCAACACCAGGGGGCCCTGGGGGGCCCCGGGGGGCCCCAGGGGGGCCCAGGCGGGCTTTATGGGGCCCCAGGGGGCCCCGGGGGGCCCCAGGGGGCCCCAGGGGGCCCCAGGGGGCCCCAGGGGGGCTTTGAGGGGCCTCAGGGGGCCCCCGGGGGCCCCTGGGGGTCCCGGGGGGCCCTCAGGGTGTTTAAAGCCTTTGGTGGATTTAAAGCATTAAATGTTTTGAAGCCATAAGTGGCTTTAGAGCCTTAAAGGCTGTTAAAGCTTTAAAAGTATTTAAAACCATTAAAAGTTTAAAAGTTTTTAAAGTTTTAAATAAAGACTTTGAAAAGTGTAAAGAGTTTAAAGACTTGAAAGGTTTTAAATACTTAAAAGACCTTGAGGGCTTTATTAGGCATTTTGGGGTTTTTTGTGGGGTTTTGGAAGGCTCAAAAGGACAGAATGCATTAAAAGAGAAGGCGAAGAAGACTAAACCCTAAAAAAGGGTTTTCAGGAGGCGAAGAAGACCAAACCCTAAAAAAGGGTTTCAGGAGTTTCCGGAAACCCACCCGCGGGAATGTCCTTCTGCGCAAACACCCCCACCTGCGGCAGCGAGGGGCCCCGCCAGATTGTGGCCACGCGCACATTCGGGTTGCAGGAGTGGTTTAGAAAGCGACTCGCGTTTCCAATAAACTGCAGCAGCAGCAGCAGCAGCAGCAGCAGCAGCAGCAGCAGCAGCGGCGGCAGCAGCAGCTGAAAGCAGCCGGAGATGCACTCCGGGTTTGAAACAGACTCGCAGCAAACCCCACAGCTGTAACCCCAAAACCCCCAAAACCCCCAAACCCTCGAAAACCCTCTAAACCCTCCAAAACCCCCAAACCCTCGAAAACCCTCAAACCCTCGAAAACCCTCAAACCCTCGAAAACCCTCAAACCCTCGAAAACCCTCCAAACCCTCCAAAGCCCTCAAACCCTCCAAAGCCCTCAAACCCTCCCAAAAATCCCCAACCCTTCCCCCCAAAACAAGAAAATAAAACCCCAAAGCAAACAAACTTAAAAACAAATCGAAAAATAAATTAAATGATCACCAAGTATACAAAAAAACCAAAAAGACACCAAGTGTTCGCGACACACAAAAGCTTCAATGCAGCGAGTTGCAGCGTCATAGTTAAGACCTCATGGCCTCATTTTCAACTTTCCAGGCCGCCAAAAATACGAAAAAAGAATTCAAAATGAAACAAATAAACATTAATTCGAATAAAGCAACAAAATGAGCTTTAAATCCGCAAAAAAAGACAAAAAAATGTCCAAATTGGCTGAAAAGAGCATCAGTACAAGGAGCTGCTGCGTCATAGTTAAGCCCTAGTTCTTCCACAGCCTCATTTTCAAGCCCCCGAACCCCCAAAATAATCCAATGAAAACTCAATTTAAATAAAACAATTAAAAAACACTAAATATAAACAAGAAAACCAAAAAAGGCGTTTAAATTCGCTGACAAGAGCACCAATGCAAGGAGCAACAGCTTCATAATTGAGGCCGCGCTCCTCGCCCACGGCCTTATTTTGAACCCCCCGAGCCCCCCAAAACAGGAAAAAAAACCCCATTCAAATAGACTAATTAAAGAGGGACAAACTGAGGGACAGAATGTCGAAAAAAGGAGCGAAAGAGTGTCCAAAATGGCTGACAAGAGCGTCAATGCAGGGGGCTGCAGCGTCGTAGTTGAGGTCGCGCTCCTCCCCCACAGCCTCCATGCAGTAGTTGTGGAAGCCGCGGCGAGAGGCCTGGCGGGAGCGGCCGTCCATGGCTGCGCGAGGGAGGACTTCGCCTACGTACTGCATGATGAAGGCGCCGCGGGGAATGAACTCCTGAAAAGCCGATTTTGAGGCCCAAAAACACCACCAAAGGCCGCGCTTTTGACACAGATCGAAAGAACGCAAATCAAAGATTCAGATGGAACCAAAAGCAGAAAAAAAGGACACAAAATGAGACTTATGCGGCACGAAAAAGCCCAAGTCGAAACACTGGCAAGGCCGTGGGGGGGAGAAAGGGTTTGAATTCAAGTGAAATTGGAAAAGAAATGAATTTAATTCAAATTGAATTCAAGAACAAATTCAATTTATATTAAATTAAAAAAGAAATTAATTACATTCAAATTGAATTAAAAAAAGATGAATTTAATTCAAATTGAATTCAAAAAGAAGAGAATTAAAGTTCAAGTCCGAGAAAAGGCTGCAAGAGCTTAAAGGCAATAAACTAAAAAAAGCCAAAACCTCCATTTAGGGTTCCAAATAAAAGCAAACAAAACAAATTCACAAAAATGAATAAATAAATCCACAAGTCCATTTTATGAAGCAAACAAAACCGACAAATTCAGAAACCCTTTGGAACGGACTCTGAAAAGCTTCCCTCCGAGGGTTTAGGAGGGTTTACAGGGACTAATAAGGGTTTCCGAGGGTTTATGAGGGTTTATGAGGGTTTGTGAGGGTTTAGGGGGGTTTACGAGGGTTTAGGGTTTGCAGCGGGGTCTAGGGTTTGGCTCACAAGGGTTCGCAACTCCCAGCCCGCATGTCTCGTCTTCGCCACCGCCACGCGAAACTGCAGATCTTCAGGCAGTCTGCAGCACACGCGCCGCAACTCTGCTGCTGCTGCTGCTGCTGCTGCTGTTACCGTGCTGCTGCTGCTGCTGTTGCTGCTGCTGCTGTTACTGTGCTGCTGCTGCTGCTGTTGCTGCTGCTGCTGCAGTTCGCTGCAGGCAGACGCGCCTATCCCGTGCACTACCCCTGCCAACCCAACGCAGCCACCGCCTCACCCGCCGCCACCCCAGCTGCAGCAGCAGCTTCCACCCCGGGAACAGCCCCAGCAGCAGCAGCAGCAGCCTCAGCAGCAGCCCCAGCAGCAGCAGCAGCAGCCTCAGCAGCAGCCCCAGCAGCAGCAGCAGCAGTCCCAGCAGCCGCATCCGCAGCAGCCCCACCATCCCCAGCCCCCCATCCTCATCCTCACCACCACCCTCCCCACCCTCATCCTCACCCCCGTCCACATCAACAGCAACAGCAGCAGCAGCAGCAGCAGCAGCAGCAGCAGCAGGACCTGTTGGTGCAGAGTGTGGGGTCGCAGAGGCAGTGCGGCGAACAGCTGGCGATGGGGCGGAAAGTTTTGACGAAGGCCGCGTTGGCGCCGCCGCAGTAAATGCGGCCAGAGACGGGGTCCCGCAGCGCGTCGCAGTAGCGGGGCAGCTCGCTGCAGCAGCAGCAGCAGCAGCAGCAGCAGCAGCAGCAGCAGCAGCAGCAGCAGCGGC